CACGGGCGCCACCTTGATGCTCACGTCATCATATTATATTTGCGCGCATCATCTGCTCTTCAGATTTCTCTGCCGAAAAGGGAAGCTTGTTGGCAGCGCAAGGAGTTTGCCAGCGAACGCAGCATCTCGTTCCCAATTCAGAGAACATGGGTTACTCTAGTAATCAGAGACGTTCTCTTTCATAGGTTTACTCCAAGCTGCGTAGCTAAGACGCAGTGCGAACGAAATACCAAACTCACCAAGTTAAGCGCTGCATACTGGTTTAAGCAGATAACCTGCCGAACCTGATAATGATTATAGAACTACCAATATGCGTGTAGTTTAACACATTACCAACATTTTAACTATATTTAAATACTCAAATGTGTAATTCCATACATTCCCCAACCTGAACGTGTTGTGCCTGAACGCGTTCATTTGAACGATAGATCATGAACTCGTTCATATTTTGTGCAAACGTGAACTGGACGTACTATATTACTGCCTGATGAACGTTACTGTGAACTCGTTCATTATTGTTGTCTGTGAGTGCAAACTCTCGCAGTTTAACTTCGTTCAATAGACCAGTTTGCAAGATGTATACAACACTGGTCCAGAAGCACTTCCTGTTTCAGTTTTTTTAACACTACACAAAAGCTGGGATAAAATACAACCAACAGAACATATAAAACTGAATAAAAAATGTAAACAAACATCTTTAAGATGTTTTCTTTACGTGTTAAATAAAGAAAACAGTTACAAACTGAAACAGGACTTGTTTCTGAACCAGTGTTATTTACATCTTGCAAAATGGTCTATAGGGTGCCAAATAGGCGGAAACCTAGCTAAAACACACATAAACAGGCCTTAATATGTCACGAAAAAAACACCTAATCTGATGAAAGATGAAAAAGGTGATCCAAGCCCATACAAATAACAGACAGTATAAACAAATATATAATACAATTATTACTATTTTAGACGATATTATCATATACAAGTTTGCCATAATGAAATTATCATCACTTGTTTTTATTGGCTTTAGTATTATTACATAAGTAGTAGTATCACTATGCCATTATTTATGTACTGTTACAGTACCATTGACAGATTTCATTTCAATTTGGCAATTTCTGCTTATTCAAAAACTTGATTTAGACCTATCAGAGTGAAGGTATCATCTCTTCTTCCTTGTTTTAGAGTCCAGAGAGTCACATTTAAATATTTAAAATGGAACAAAAACTATTAAAACTAAAATTTTAATTAAAAATGATGGAGAATTGAGTTTGACACCAACTATGAACTATAGTGCAACTATTGGCTTTAAACATTTTTTAAATATTACATTATTTTTTTTTTTTAAACAAACATTTAGCAGTGTTAACATCAATGTTACAGCAAGGGTATGAAACTGCACGTTGCTGTTGATACAGGAACTGAGTCTTGTTGATGCTGTTGTGTTAAAAGCAGCCATTGTGCTTGGTGATAGTCCCTGATTAGGACTTAACCACAGAGCATGCTGCTACCCTGAGTCAACAATGAAAAGACAATGTGAACTATGAAACATCTGCTACAGGCAGATAGCAGAATGAGATCTACAGAGTTGGGGACGGGTAGCATGAGAGGAAGTGGCAAAGATAAAATGAAGAGGGGAAAATAAAGAGAACGTAAAAAAAAAGCTCCAGTTAGTAAAAGAGAGTGTGAACAAACAATTTGCATGCACAAACACAGATGCTTTAAAGGGTTAGTTCACCCAAAAATGAAAATTAAGTCATTAATTACTCACCCCCATGCTGTACCAACCCCGTAAGACCTTCGTTCGTCTTCAGAACACAAATGAAGATATTTTTGATTAAATTTGAGAGCTGTATAACTACCACATTGGCTCCTAAGGGACTGCCTCTTGACGGCCCAGAAAGTCAATGAAGAAAATGTTTAAATATCCCAAGTGACTACCGTGGCTCAACTATATGTTTATCAAGCGACGCGAATACTTTTTGTGCGAAAAAACAAACAAAAATAACGAGTTTATTCGACTATTTCTTTTCTTCCTTGTAGGCCAGAAACGAGATTTCCTTAGATTTCCACGACGCATGCGCGAGAATTGCGATCTGAAGTAGTGTAAGCAGATTGCAATTCTCGCGCATGCGTCGTGGAAATCTAAGGAAATCTCGTTTCTGGCCTACAAGGAAGAAAAGAAATAGTCGAATAAACTCGTTATTTTTGTTTGTTTTTTCGCACAAAAAGTATTCGCGTCGCTTGATAAACATATAGTTGAGCCACGGTAGTCACTTGGGATATTTAAACATTTTCTTCATTGACTTTCTGGGCCGTCAAGAGGCAGTCCCTTAGGAGCCAATGTGGTAGTTATACAGCTCTCAAATTTAATCAAAAATATCTTCATTTGTGTTCCGAAGACGAACGAAGGTCTTACGGGGTTGGTACAGCATGGGGGTGAGTAATTAATGACTTAATTTTCATTTTTGGGTGAACTAACCCTTTAAGTATTCTTTAAATATGATCAAATACACAAATAATCCACAGTTTATGATAATTATAAATCTTATCAAAATAAATATCAAAGGCTTGGAGTCCACAAATCATGTTTTTCATACAACTAACTTCTTCTCCTGCAGAATTCAAGCAACCAATACATGAATCATTCATCATCTGAACTGCATTTAGTGACAGTCAAACCCCCAAATAAGCGAAGGAATGAGGCTTGGGTAAGTGAGGGAATGAGACACTTCTAAGTACTAGCCAGACTTCCATCCATTTGAATGAATGTTGGGATATTGCAGAAATAAATGTTGGATAGGAACATCAAGATGCAAATACTAGTTCCAAAATGCAAACTGAGCAGCAAAATGTATACATGCCTGCTTGTAGACCATCGTTTTTTTATTCTTTAAGTCATGCACATGAACTACAATGGAAACACATTTACCAAATTTACATCTGGCAAAAAAAAATCATTGTCACATGATTTAATAATTTGCTTCTATTTTCTCCCACCTTTCATCTTGTATGGGGGAAATATAGATCTCATCAGAATATAAAAGAAAAACAATTACGTTTCCTGATGTTTGTAGATGTATGTAGAAGCATATTCAAGGAAACAACAAAGGACCATTTATAGAGCCTTGTGGCACTCTATACTTTGCTTGCGTTACAGTTCCTTACTTAAACAAAATGGTGGAAGACCAATCTTTTTTTAAGTTATATATGTTTTGCATTTATGGATTTATTATAAAAGGACAGCAGAAGCAGGAAGTGACAAGACACAAGACAAAAGGAAATAGGATCTTGAATTGACCACAAGCCCAAAGTGAGTCAACTCATTTTGTCTGAAGCGCTCCCATTTGTCGGAGGCGAAGCGCTGTGTTAACATGTCATTTCCCCTCTACACAATACACTGTGGCTACGTTCACACTGCAGGGCTTAATGCTCAATTCCGATTTTTTGAAAAAATGCGATTTTTTTGCAAGGCCGTTCACATTTCCAATTAAATGCAACCTTTTGTGATCTCCTGTGTGAACGTGAAATGACCCAGAAGTGACCCGCATGCGCAGAAGAGTAATCAACGGTCCAAGACGTCACTTGTTGTTTGCAGAATAGTTCTTTTTTTTCATATGTTGCGAGCTTTTGTTTTATTATTATTATTGCCACAGCCCATATACAAACACAGACAATAACTATTTTATCGACGGGCAGTTTGCACATAAATGTAAGATTTTTCCGATCCTCACCGACCTCGTCATTAAACCCGTTTAATTGATAGTGCGTGTCCGCGGCGCTCCTTGCTTTGTCACCGGCGGCCGCGGTGTTGCCAGATTGGGTGGTTATTCGCTACATTTTAAGGCATGTTCACATGTGTTTTAGCCAGGTTTTCGCTTGGAAGGCTCTATATCTGGCACCCTACTGTACAAAGTTATACTGACAGAGAGCGCACGTTCACATACACCAGAATTAACGTGTTCACAGTAATGTTCATCAGGCAGTAATACAGTATGTTTATTTCGGGCGAACGTGAATAATATGATACGCGAAAATATAAACGCGTTCATGCACTATCGTTCTTTGAACACGTTCAGGCACAACACTGGGGAAGAGACACGTCTGCAGTGGCCCATAACAGTGAGGAAACGCGTGTATTGGCTGGCTACAGGTGCGTGCAATGACGTGTGGGTTGGATATATGTGACCTGGCCGTTCAGATTGAAGTCGCATTTCAAAAGATCGGATACATATCGGATTTAGACCACATACCCAAGTGGGCTGGGTCGCATTTGAAAAGATCGGATCTGTGTCGTTCAGACTGTCATGAAAAAATCAGATACAGGTCGCATAGGGGCAAAAAAATCGGAATTAGGTCGTTTCAGCCTGCAGTGTGAACGTAGCCTTTGACACAAGGTGCTTCTACAGTATTCACTTCGACACAAGGTGCTTCTACACTATTTACTTCGACATAAGGTGCTTCCGGGTGCGAAAAAGGTTAGCGCATGCACGGGTTGCTTTAACCGTGGTGGTTGTGTGAAACCTGGTTGTGCACCAAATAAAATGTGTTAACTATAAACGCTGTGTTTATTTGGACAAGCATGCTCCCCACATAGATATTATTATAGCTCTGACCACTTATAGGATCTGAAACAACCACTACCACTTTGTCTACATACTGTGCTCATATCTTTCTATTGAAATGCAGTTAATAAAACAGTGTGTGTTGATCTTAGGTCATGCCAGCCACATGAATGCAAATGTAAAGTGAACAGAAAGCTGCTGTCCTAAATGTTTAGGGAATGTACATAAGTGATGCTAAAACGGTAGCCTAAAACTTTTGTTCTTCAAATTGTAGATATGAGAATTTTAAAAACTATGTTAAATACAACAAATTATGGGTTTAACATCAACATATTTGTACTAACCATACCAGAAGCAAAGACTAAAAAAATACAAATAAAAATGCAAATAAGCTACTGTATTAAAGTCACAAAGGGGTTTGTGGTAAAGAGAGATTCTCACCTCTCCTCTCGAGGAACATTCTCACTGTGCTGCTCCTCTGCCTGAAAGGGAAAAAATATATTTGTTATATAGATTACATAACCGTATATTACATAGCTATAATTTAAAAAAGATATATACTGAGGTTTAAAAGTTTGGGGTCAGTATGATTGTATTATTTATTTGAGGAAGACAAAAACACCTCTACCAGAAAAGAAGCATAAAACTGATCCAAAAGTGAAAACATTTTCTAATTTTACAAAAGTTTTCAAATAAATACTAGTCTTTTCATTTTTTTCCATCCAACAAGAAAGGTATAAAAAGCACAGAATCACAGTAAAAAAAAAAAAAAAATTAAGAAGCACAACTGATAATAATAATAAGAAGTGATCTAGCAATCAGCATATTAGAATGATTCTGAAGGAGCATGTGACACTTAAAGGGTTAGCTCACCCAAAAATGAGAATTATCTTAGGCTACGTTCACACTGCAGGGCTTAATGCTCAATTCCGATTTTTTGAAAAAATTCAATTTTTTTGCAAGGCCGTTCACATTTCCAATTAAATGCGACCTTTTGTGATCTCCTGTGTGAACGTGAACTGACCCAGGAGTGACCTGCATGCGCAGAAGAGTGGTCAACGACGTCACTTGTTGTTTGCTGAATTCATAGTTCTTTTTTTCCATATGTTGCGAGCTTTTATTTTATTATTATTATTATTATTATTGCCACAGCCCATATACAAACACAGACAACAATTATTTTATCGACGGGCAAAGTTTGCACATAAATGTAAGATTTTTCCGATCCTCACCGACATCGTCATAAAACCCGTTTAATTGATAGGCTAGTGCGCGTCCTCTGCGCTCCTTGCTTTGTCGCCGGCGGCCGTGGTGCGACACTGGTGGCTGGTGTTGCCAGATTGGGTGTTTTTTCGCTACATTTTAAGGCATGTTTACATGTGTTTTAGCCAGGTTTTCACCTGGAAGGCTCTTTAGAAATCTGGCACCCTACTGTACGAAGTTAAACTGACAGAAAGCGAACGTTCACAGACACCAGAATGAACGTGTTCACAGTAATGTTCATCAGGCAGTAATACGATACGTTTATTTTGGGCGAACGTGAACTGTCACGTTCTCTACGTGTAGAACGTTCTCAATGTGTAGAACGTGTTGGAGTTAGTATTTGCTATAGCTACAGGTGCGTGCAATGACGTGCAGGTCGGATATATGTGACCTGGCCGCTCAGATTGAAGTCGCATTTCAAAAGATCGGATACATATCGGATTTGGACCACATACCCAAGTGGCCTGGGTCGCATTTGAAAAGATTGGATCTGTGTCGTTCAGACTGTCATGAAAAAATCAGATACAGGTCGAATAGGTGCAAAAAAAAAATCGGAATTAGGTCGTTTCAGCCTGCAGTTTGAACGTAGCCTAATAATTTACTCACCCTCAAGCAATCCTAGGTGTATATGACTTTATTCTTTCAGCCAAACACAATCAGATTTGCAGTATATTAAAAAGTATCCTGACTCTAGTCTTCCAAGCTTTATAATGGGAGTGAATAGCGCAAGAGATTCTAAAGCCCAAAACTGCACATCCATCATAAATGTAATCCATACTGCTAGGGCTGAACGATTAATTGCATTTGCGATAAAATCGCGATATGATGAAACGCGATTTTGTAATCGCAAGAGCTGCGATTACACTGGTCACGTGACAAGCGAGAGAAAAGCAGTCTGACTCTGCAAGATAAAAGCATCAACTTGCCACGCTACGCGGTCTGGTGTTCAGAAAAGAACAGTTTATTGTGTTATTTATTCTCTCCTCTCCTCAACAATCCTGGATCGATTCAGAGAATTTCAGAATCGAGTATGAGCTTAGTTTTTAAACACAGATGCGTGATGACGCTGCACGTGCTTTAGAAACGAACCGTGCTCTGAATCTGCTTGCTTCTATTTTCTCGCTCTCTCTCTTCCTCACTTACACACACGACACCGCTCGAACCTTCCAAAACATAGTAACGTTATTTCATAAAGTTCGGAATTGAACCGAATTACAAGGACATTCGCGGGCTTCGTTGAACAGGTTTTGCGGCTTTGCTTGATGTTATAACGTTACACTTGCAGTGCGCGTTCTCTCCCGCGGGAATTTTCTTTACAAATGCTTCACAGAGGCATTATTTATGTCTTTTGGAATGCAGTTGGCTTATATATTAAAACCATGAAAACCACTGAGAAGGCTGCTTTCATTTTAAAATACTAAAGCCCCGTTCACACCGCCAGCGACACGCAGCGACAAAGCGACAAGATCCCATTCATTTCAATGGAGCGCTGGCGACATCCGGCGACACGAGCGACAGTGACCGTTGGCGACAGAATGTGGGCGTGTCAAGCGACAAGAGACAAGCGACAAAAGTTGAGAATTTTCAACTTTATGCAAATGAGAAGCGATTTTCGCGAGCGACAACCAATAGGAAAGAAGACTTTCAGTGGAGCTCAGCTCACGTCACCGTCTCGAATGCAGTGCAGGCAAGACAGAAAGAAAGAGTTTGAGGACGATTTCACTGTTTTATATGATTTGACTGTAACCACATACATGGATAATAAAATGATGCATGGAAAAGAAACTGTCGACAGTGAGTTTAATTCATACATTTAACGTTATAGTTCGAGTGTTGTAATTATATGATGCACGTTAGCACTGCTGCAGTTCATTTTACAATTTCCCCTGCATTACATTGACTATTAGGGACAAGAAAATTGATTATTTGTCAAATTCGAATGACGTTTTTATAATTTGTGACCGTATGAGTGAGTTTAATTTGTTCATTGATCGATCGTTGATCTAGTAAATGATTTAATCCACTGAACACAGCTGTGGAGATATAAAAACACTCTCCCAACAGCACATGGTTTCTTTTTAGCCTTAAAAGTCATTTATTCCCAGTCAAATTAAAATTATATATCACTTGTGATGGTCTTTTGTATAGATATGGCCAGACGTGCAGTCTACCAATAACACAAGAGCGACAGCACTACGAACGCCCACAAGCGACATCACAGTACAGAGCCTAGCGACACAGAGCGACAAAATCGCTAGCGGTGTGAACGGGGCTTAACGCGTGCTTTGTGAAGAGCGCTCGTGCATGCGGCTGTGAGCGACTCATTGGTAAATGTACTTGCATGTCAAAATGCTTTTATGACGCGAAATTAATGTAAACACGGTCAGTTATATCTTAAACCAACAGGACAAACCACATTTACAATTTCAAAAGAGATATATGCATTCGTGTAAATGCAGCTTATCGTATCCAAACTGAGGGGAAATCACTCCAGCTCTTGAATGAAAAACATTCAGACAGCCTACTTTTAAATACTGAGACTGTTTATTGCTTGTAATGTTTTTTTTTGTTTCTCTTTATTTACTAGCTTTTATATTTTGAAGCTATATTATTTTATATAGCCTATTTAAAATTCTTAACATGTAATTGGTTTAATTAATAGTTTTTTATGTGTTTTTACACATGTAATTAAATACATATTTTAAGAGTTAAGATTAAATAATAAAGAAAAAGAAGAAGAATCGGATCATGAGCTATCTAAAGATTCCCATCCCTACTGTACAATGATTTATTGATTGTCTTTGTCGACTAATACAGAAGGTAAATAACTTTTTTTTTTTAAATCGCATATTAAATCGCAATCGCAATATTGGTTAAAAAAAAAAATCGCAATTAGATTATTTTCCAAAATCGTTCAGTCCTACATACTGCCCAAGAGGGTTAATAAAGGCTTTGTGAAGCGAAGCGATATGTATTTGTTAAAAAAAAAAAAAAAATCCATATTTATGAATTTATAAACTAAAATCACTGGCTTCTGGCAAAGGCTGTACGCGAGTCTAGTTCCGGTGGAAGAGTGACCTCTGACCCGACGCATGAGGTATTGACGAACGCGCAAGCATAGAGGATAGAGCAAAATAGGATACTTTTTAGGATAACAGGATATTTTTAATGTAACTCCGATTGTATTTGGCTGAAAGAAGAAAGTCATACACACTAGGTTAGCTTGAGGGTGAGTGGATAACCCTTTAAGACTGGAGTAATGGCTGCCATCACAGCAATAAAATTAATTTTAAAATATTGAAATCGAACAGTTAAATTTTGTAATAATATTTCACCATATTACTTTTTTTACTGTATGTTTCTTCAAATAAATGAAGACTTGAGTAGTGCAAATTATGAATAAATGCAATAAATAAGACATGTATAACATTCCTTCACTTACTGTAGCATTGCAAATAAAAATGTTGCCTAAAAAACATAAAACTGGAAACAGAAACCAGTATATTCCGAGCACAAGTATACTTGAGCTGACCTTATTTTGAAAGCACCACTACTTAAAGGGAACAGTGTATGACTTTGACACATAACCAAACTATTGCATAAACTACCAGTAGCACATCATAGGCAATCTTCTGAAACAGCCATCTTACTGAGAGCATTAAAACCATGACTGACGAGTGTTACAGCAGGGTATCCATAGGAACTAACTTTAGGTCTCCAGGCATACTAGGTGTAGTAGGGCCACTTGGTTGCCTGGTGTCAGATGACTGGTAAATACACATTTTACAATGATTGGATGAAAATGCATTGCAGGGTATGGAGTCTTCCTCAAAATAGAAAACATACAGTGAATGTGTAGAGTTTTAGTGTAGAATGTAAGTATTAGAATGCACTGAGCAAATGCAGCATCCATTCATCATCGGGTGAGGGTGGTTCTCTTTACATGGAATGCTGCAGGTCTACTCAATCACTCTTGCCATCTATAATGACTACAAATGAATCAAACTCTATTTATGGCTCTGCTTTTAACTGGTTGTCAAGCAGACAATGTGTTTTTTAAACATAAAGCTGTTTGTGAATGTGACCTTAATTAATTTTAATTTCATTTGATTGATCCAGATTTTTAATGAATGAGCAAATCATATAGGACACACCAGTCATGCTAGAACAAACCCAAAATATAATTCCAACATAGTATTATTAAATCTAACATATTTTA